AATAATTAAACTAAAAAATTATAATGATTATTTTTTTAATGATGTTAAATTAAATATTCTAATTATTTTATAATAAATAAAAATAAAAAGATAATAAAAATATGTTTTACCTACGGAATTTATCTACGGAAATTTCCGTAGATAACTGGACATTATCTATAGAAAAAATTCCGTAGATAATTAAACGTTATCTACGGAAAAATTTCCGTAGATAATATTCCGTAGATAATAACAGTTTTTCTTGTATACAAACTCTAACTTCATAGTTGATCTAGCAATAATAGATTGCCTAATTGATCTCCATGCAATTACACTATCACCAAGTGTAAACACATAGCCACTAGTGGATTTTGTCTCATCTGAATCAGAAATCCAATTAGCATCATTGTACCCTTCTAGTAAAGTGTAAACACATAGCCACTAGTGGATTTTGTCTCATCTGAATCAGAAATCCAATTAGCATCATTGTACCCTTCTAGTAAAGTGTAAACACATAGCCACTAGTGGATTTTGTCTCATCTGAATCAGAAATCCAATTAGCATCATTGTACCCTTCTAGTAAAGTGTAAACACATAGCCACTAGTGGATTTTGTCTCATCTGAATCAGAAATCCAATTAGCATCATTGTACCCTTCTAGTAAAGTGTAAACACATAGCCACTAGTGGATTTTGTCTCATCTGAATCAGAAATCCAATTAGCATCATTGTACCCTTCTAGTAAAGTGTAAACACATAGCCACTAGTGGATTTTGTCTCATCTGAATCAGAAATCCAATTAGCATCATTGTACCCTTCTAGTAAAGTGTAAACACATAGCCACTAGTGGATTTTGTCTCATCTGAATCAGAAATCCAATTAGCATCATTGTACCCTTCTAGTAAAGTGTAAACACATAGCCACTAGTGGATTTTGTCTCATCTGAATCAGAAATCCAATTAGCATCATTGTACCCTTCTAGTAAAGTGTAAACACATAGCCACTAGTGGATTTTGTCTCATCTGAATCAGAAATCCAATTAGCATCATTGTACCCTTCTAGTAAAGTGTAAACACATAGCCACTAGTGGATTTTGTCTCATCTGAATCAGAAATCCAATTAGCATCATTGTACCCTTCTAGTAAAGTGTAAACACATAGCCACTAGTGGATTTTGTCTCATCTGAATCAGAAATCCAATTAGCATCATTGTACCCTTCTAGTAAAGTGTAAACACATAGCCACTAGTGGATTTTGTCTCATCTGAATCAGAAATCCAATTAGCATCATTGTACCCTTCTAGTAAAGTAGAAAATCCACTATACTTATACCATAATGGGTACCTCTCAAGTATCTCATGACTCTTGTAAGTGCTTTCAAATGGTTTTGATTGAGTCTGTGTGTATATTTACTTAATCTATCTATTGTATAAGTAATGTCAAGTCTAGAGAAATTCATAAGATGCAGTACACTTCTAATTATTTGGGCATAATAAGATTGAGCAACAAGGTCTCCTCTATTTTTCTTTAAGTGAGAGTTAACATTATAAGAGGTACTCACTAACTCATAATAATCAAACTTCTTGAGAAGTTTCTCAACATAGTCTTCTTAGGATAGTAATATACTATCTCTCTTCCTTATGTTGTTAACTCCTAATATTAAATTTGTTTCTCCCATGTCTTTCATATTTGAATTAGATGCCAAAAATGATTTAGTTCTTAAAACTATATCAATGCATGTATATAAAATTAACATGTCATCCACATATAAACATATTATGACACAATTACCATTCATAGATTTGGTGTACACACATTTATCAATATCACTAGATTTAAAACCGTCACTTAGGACAAAATCCTTAAACTTTTCATGCCATTATTTCGTTGCTTATTTTAGACCATAAAGAGATTTAAGAAGTTTACACACTTTTTTTTCATTGCCAGGAATCACACACTCTTTAGGTTGAATATATATCCCTTAGGTTACAATTTAAGAAATTCATTTTCACATCCATTTGGTGAATTACTAACTTATAGATAGTCGCTAAGGCTATCAAAACATGAATAGAGGAAATCATAGCAACTAGAGAAAAAATGTCAAAGTAATCTATGTTCAGTTTTTGAGTAAACCCCTTAGGCACCAATCTAGCTTTATACTTGTCTATAGATCTATCAAGTTTGTACTTTTTCTTAAAGATCCACTTACACTTAATAGGTTTTGCTCCTTTTGGTAAATCCACCAATGTCCAAGTATTGTTCTTTTTGATACAGTCAATTTTATATTAATGGTTTGTTTTTAAAGACCTTCATCTAAAGAACTAATAGTCTCAAGATAACTCAAAGGATCACAACTAAAAAGAAAAGTATAAAAATCATCTCCAAAATGTGACACCCTTACTACCCCAAAACATATAACGAAATAATATAACAAAATTAAAGAAAATAAACTTTTGAAATTGGTAAAAGGGTTCACATAACAAAAATTCAATACACCACATTAATAGAAATATCAAACCTAAAATACAAGAGTTTCTAAAATTGTTTTCAAAATAATATTACAGAATTTTCATAAATATCTTAAACTAGAAATCCTCTGCCCCGATGTCACACTATCAGAGCATTTTCCCAAATAAAACTGCTGACATACTATATACCAATTGCAGCTGGATCCTCTCCACCTAAAAATATCCACAATTTATACGGTGAGAAAAGAAAAATTATCTATATGCAAAACACATACAAACACATCACAGTATAATTTATTATAACAACTTGTTTAAAAAGATTCATTGGTTGTTCATATTTGATTCCCAAATCAGCTAGGATGCTCCTAATCCATAATAATTCACAAATGCCATATGCCATACCTCTAAATTCAGCTTCAGCACTAGACCTTGCAACTACCTTTTGCTTCTTGCTTCTCCATGTGACTAAGTTGCCTTCTACAAAGGTAAAATACCCTGAAGTTGATTGCCTTGTAGTTTTATCTCCAGCCCAGTCCGAATCCGTGTATCCTTTTATGCAAGCTCTATCATTTTTTGAAAATAATAGACCTTTCCCTGGTGAACCTTTGAGGTATCTGAGGATACGATATACTGTTGTCATATGTTCCTCACTAGGAGAATGCATGAACCTACTTACAATGCTCATAGAATAGGCAATGTCAGGTCTAGTATGAGATAAATAAATTAACTTTCCTACTAACCTCTGGTATCTATGCTTGTCCGTCTCAATCTGGTCTAGATATATAGCAAGAGAATGATTCATTTCAATTGGAGTATCAGTTGGCTTGTAAGCCAACATTCCAGTCTCAGATAGAAGGTCTAGAATATATTTTCTTTGAGAAAGAAAAATGCCTTGTTCAGATCTTGCAATTTCTATGCCAAGAAAGTATTTTAGTTGTCCTAGATCCTTCATTTCAAATTCAGCAGCCAGTCTCTTCTCAAGTAATTTCATTTCTTCCACATCATCTCCTGTTAACACCATATCATCTACATAGACAATAAGTATGGCCACTTTTCCTTTGGTATGCTTTATAAACAAGGTATGGTCTGAATTACTTTGTTTATACCCAAACTTCTTCATTGCTAACGTGAGTCTTCCAAACCATGCCCTGGGTGATTGTTTAAGGCCATATAAAGCCTTTTTTAATTTGCAAACTACACTTTCTTTTGAAGGTGCTAGCTGTACTCCTGGTGGAACCTCCATGTAGACCTCCTCTTCTAAATCACCATTCAAGAAAGCATTCTTTACATCGAATTGCTTCAAGGGCCAATCTCTATTAGCTGCTATGGAAATTAGGATTCGGATTGTGTTGAGTTTAGCCACTGGAGCAAATGTATCTTGATAGTCTACCCCATATTTTTGTGTGTATCCCTTTGCCACGAGTCTTGCCTTGTATTTATCAATACTTCCATCCGCTTTTAACTTCACAGTGTATACCCATTTGCACCCAATTGTCTTTTTTCCACTTGGTAAAGAAGTTAGTTTCCAAGTTTCATTTTTCTGAAGTGCTTCCATCTCTATGTTCATTGCTTGTTTCCATCTAGGATCTTCTAATGCTTCCTGCACACTGTTAGGAATAGATACAATGGATAATTGATCAACCGTTAGAGCATATGA